CCAGCTGAAACATCCAATTTATTTTGCCCTATTTTCATATCAATAAACCTCTTCTGATTTTAGCTGAATTGGTAGAAAAAAGGGTTATCAATGAGAACATAAGTTCTCTGTAGGTCTACACGTTTATTTTATTGACTTTCTTTCATCCCATCAGCATTTATAAAACACCTTTTACACCATGCATCAAACACAGAAACAGTCATTAAAACTCTGTACGAAGATTTATAGCGTTTACAATGAGGTGTAAATTTTCTTGACTAGAAAAGCAAGGCTCAGGGGTCTGATAGCTGTACTAATAAATGCTGCTTATCCCTGGGGCTTTACTATGATCTTCCACTTCAAAAAAGTCACCTGTGGGCAAAGTGCAAAGATACTTGAACTACCCTCCACTGGTGAAGGAGGTACGTACCTCCAAGGAAAGGATGAGGCACATTTGTAAGATGGTGTATGGGGAGCTTGCTGCTACTGTCGCTGCTCTGTGGCTAAACGTGACTTTAGCATTCAGAGTTGTCAGTCTGGATTAGGCTCAAGATCTCCTTATCAATCTACTCCTGGTACTAGCTAAGATTGCCGTCTAGGAGGAGGAAGCTTGACAGGGAAGTTTTTTATGGCTGTGGGGCCATTTTCCAGTTCCTTGTGCATGCATCTAGGCACAGTTCCTGTGTGTTGCTCTACTGACTCCCTGGACAAATTGGAAGAGTGGGCACTGTCTGAGGTTCTCTGCTTGGTTTTCCCCCTCTGGATCCTTCATTTGGCCCTGAGACCTGCACCTCCATCTCTGTTTTTCATTTTTTGCCATCAATAATCAGTTAAGTTCTGGATTCTGTGGCCCTTCCTGCATCTCAGGAACAGATCTTTTCATTGCTTAGGTGGGCCCTGCCCACCATCCCAGCATTTAAATAGACTGGCTTCTTTTGCCAGATCTCAATTCACGTAGAAAACAAGGGTTGAATGAGAGAGACAAACTACAGTGTACTTTTTTTGTATCTTTAGGAACCTGTTACTGTTTCTTCACATGTAGTGACTATCTCCAGCCTACTGCCTGCCACGTCCTACAATTGCAGCGTGACTACCTTCAGCCACAACAGCCCTAGCGTTCCCACCTTCATAGCTGTCTCTACCATGGGTAAGCCAGACTTTGCCAGTTCCACCTCTCTACACAGCTATAATGTTTGCCTCTTTGTTCCTTCTGAAGCTGCTTTTCAGGTGTTACTGATATCAGAATTATTTCACTGAAATGTAGCCAGCTCCAGGGTGGAATGGGGCGGCAGCTGGTTAAGTGTTAAGTATTTGGTATTGCTGTCACCTCTGTTCACCACTAGGGAGTGCCTTTTTTTAAAATCGTTAGGGAAACCCCAATTTCTGTGTGTGTTTTAAAATAATTCTAATTAGATTTTTAGATTGGGCTTTATAATTCATAGTCCCTTGCTTCCAGTTTGAAGGAAGACTCTGGGATTACTGCCCTGATGACACCCGTAGAGGAAATTATCATAGCCGTGTCCAGGCAAAATATGGGCAAAGTCTCAGTTACTAGGCTGGGACTCTTCCTCTGTGGTAATGAGAAAAGTTTCTTTCTGCCTTCAGGGAGGAGGTGATCCAGAGACTGAACTGGGAAGAGGTGAGAAGGAAAGGGCAACTGAATGACCTGGAGAGGTCAGAAACTAAAAAGATGTCTCCTGATGGAGCCAAGCCCCTCTAGCATCCTCATGGGTTCTGGGCTCAAATTTACTCGGAAGGAAGAATGCCATTATTGAATCACCATTACCACTTCCTTACAGCTGTGGGACTCCCATCCAGAATAATCAGGCTCAGTTCTGCTTAGTTAATGAGATCAGACCATAAGTGACTAAAGCATATCTTACAAGTAATGTTATGACCTAAATGTCAAATGTCAAAGTTCAGTACTTAGCTTAAACCCCTGTTCTGTTCTAAGGACTGCTTCTGTAGGCACTCTTACAATAAATAGTAAGCTTTACTGGGCAAGGATACTCCCTTCTTTGGTGCCATCACAATACAAATAATAATAATGTCCTGTAGAACTAGAAATAAATCTGAAAAAGCTGATGCAAACACACCTGTTAAGAATGTTCCTGAGCCTTGACTCTGTCTCTAATTGCAACAAAATATTTTAGGCCAAATTATCTGCTGATGTAATTCAGTTGTCTTCAATTGAGTTACCCCAACAGAGAATTAGGCCCTTTATTTCAGACTCAGGTTAGAGACTGTATTGATTATTGCTGACATATAATGCCACAGATGTTGGAGTGCATTGTGGGAGACTTAGATAAATAAGATATCGATATTATATACACTTTTTTTCTTCCTTCCTTTCCTACCTCTTTTTTTCCCTCCTTTTCATTAACATTCATAAAAGCTTCCTGTGCAGAAGCTTGCAACCATGCCACAACTGTGTCATTTCCCCTATTGAATTGTATGGGGTCAGTTACCCTAAACCTGCCCTAACCTCCACTGATAAGATTTCTCACTCCGAAGATTGACTGAGAAGACTATAAAACAATAATATATATAAATATAAAATGATCATGGATTCTGAAATTAATAACCCAGAGTCATTGTTTGTGTGCAGTTACTGAGATGAATCCCAACATAGTGGTGATCTCTGTGTTAGCCATCCTGAGCATTCTCCTGATTGGACTGTTGCTTGTGACTCTTGTTGTACTCAGGCGGAAACATCTGCAAATGGCCAGGTAGGTCCAGTCTTATTCTAAGTTCAAGAAGCTTTAAAATAATGGGTAAAATATAATATTGGGTTTTGCTTGTGTGGCACATGGTACTCTTTGTGCTCACTTGGTGTTTGAGATATCTATAAACATAGTACCTCAAAAGTTTCCCTGTTCGCTGCTGTTTCTTAGGAGTTTAACTACTACTTGCTTTATCGCATAGCTGTTCTTACTGTTGGGTGGAATTATTAGCCTCAACCTCTGTCTTAATTTGGAGCTGTGAAGGGTTTGGTAAAATGCAAATTCAAACCATTTTTAAGGGCTGATTATCTAAGCAGTCATCTTTTCTTGGGCTATTTGATTGCTCAGATTTACTGAATATTAAATAAAATATGAGATGGTTTTAAGACAAATAAAGATGTATGGTTTATAGAATTCTTAAAATCATCCAGATTATTTTGCAAAATCATTTAAATTGCTGGGAACACAAAATTTGCCATTCCAGATCAGATAACTAATCAATCAAGACCAGCCTCTCTGTGCCCAGTATTTGTTCCTTCAGACAGAAGAAAGGCACCTTTTCCCCTCCCTCCAAGTACTGCTCTTTATAAACGATGCAGTTCCTTCATACACCTCCAGCAGCCATCCTATGCCCTGAAGAATGAGATTTGCTTTCCTTTAGCTAGTGTTGTAGCTCACAGTTCACCTTTCTCGTCTGAGTTAATCCTTGACTGGCTAGCTAAACTGGGTGGCTAATCCCCCAGATCCTCTGTATGTAGCTCTGTGACTGGAAGGTTTGCAGGTCTGAGCCTTGCGAGTTTCCATATTCTTATAATCCAGAACCATAATGTGTGTGTGAAATAATACATTTAATTTGAATTTTCCCTTCTAGGTCAGAAAACCAAGTAATGTCACTTCAGAGGATCACTTTAAAAAACTTGCTAACTGATTACACAACAGATAGTTGCATTTCATGTATCAAGTCTTTGCCATATACTCCATGCAAATGAATTTACCCAATCACCCCTTTCAATGCATGATTTGTTCCTTTTGCATATAGCTGGTTCTGGGAAAATCCAGATTCTCTTCCATATTTAAATATCATGCATGCAGCCCAGGGCTTTTTCTTTCTCATTTTCTCTACCACAAGAGGAATTTTTTTTTTAAATGAACTATATACTTGCATGTAATCATTTTTCAAGCAAGCAAGCAAAAATACTCAACATTCAGTTTTTCATTTGATGTTGAGAAGGTCAAAGGTTGGTTTTGTGGTTAAAGCACTGGAATAAAGACTCCAGTCCTGGCTTTGCCACACATTTCCTTTATGGTATTAGGCAAGTCCTTTAAACACTATGCCTCATTTTCCCCATTGGTGAAATGGGGATAATGCTTCCCTACCTCCTAGGGATGATGTAAGGACAAATACAGTATACTCCTGATTATTTGAATAGCATGGGGGGGGGGACACAGATTTTATTCAGATAATCGAGAGGACAGGAGACATTCAGCAGCGGGATGGCCTCCCCCACAGCCAAGGTCTTGTCATCCTCCTTGCACTCCTGGCTGGGGGTCTCTGCTCTGACCTAAACACTCACTTGACGGACAACGGGGCTGCAGAGGGCTCCCTGCACTGCTGCAGGAGCCAATCAGCAGCAGGATGATTCGTTATCATCATCCTCTCAGTCCTTGCTGGGGGTCTCTGCTCTATTATCCAAACCTCCACATTATCCAGATCCCTTCCTTGTCCCCCAGCATGAGATACATGCTGCAAGGGGCATGTGTCTCATGCTGGGGGGACAAGGAAGGGATTCGGATAATGCGGAGGATCAGACAACAGGATTTCAGCTGAACAGGAGAATACTACACTTGGCAGGTGCTCTGAAATTATGGAGATTGGTGCCATTTACATCCCTAGATAGAAATCCATTTTGACAACTTTTTTCTCATCTTATTCTTGAGGCAGAATATTAGGAAGCTTGATCTCAGAAGATGGTGAGCACCCACTACTTCTAAAAGGTCACATCCAGACATGGCTTACGATGGTGCAGATCCACTGACTTCAGTTGAGCTGTACCCAGCAAGTTCAGCCCTTGCTTCAGTGGGAGGCCTGGATACACACCACCTCTTAGAATCAGGCTCTTAGTGATCTGTATTAGGGCAACACCATTGACAAAATCAACAAGCATTATGTTTGTCCAGCAATAATAACCTTGAACTCAATGGTCTTCCTGAAACAGGGAGTGTGGGGCTGGAACCTTTGTCAATTTTGCTTCATTGGAGAGAGATGGAAAACTTCCATATAACTGGTGAGTTATATACTGCTACCTCTATGCTTCCCCCCCCCCCCCATCCTTTTCTCACCATCTACCTTCGTTGGCAAGTCTGACTTTTATGTTCTTATGTTTTTGTTATATGATCACTAGCGCAATTTAACATAAAGTAACGGTAGCTGATTTTTGGTTTTGTTTTGTATTTTATTTGACTGAATGATGGCCCAGGGCCATGTCTTTTGTCAGAAACTATTTTTTGTAGGAAATGAGGATGTACAACATATTCCAACTGGGCTAGCTACATTTTTTTTCCTTTCCCTTACGCACATTCTATATATTTTCTAAAGTAACAAAGGGATAGAAGCCTGATCTATAAATCCATTAGCAGCTCTATGGAGATATATTAATGTCGAGCAGTGAGGTTGCTCTTTATAGATCATCAGCTAACAACTCTGTTCACAGAAATACAAGCCCCAGTGCCATTAGTTATTTTTCCTTTGTATTTGGAACAAGGCCAAGCTAGCTCAAATAGCTCTTACAACTTTGTGCTCAGTGTTGCTGGGGTGTTTGGAAGCAAAACACACCCAGTCAGGTCTGCAAAACCATCTGCAGAAACAGCAGGCATTGATTAGCTATTCCATTCCATCAATAGTTCCATCACTCCCTGAGAGGTGTTAGAGCAAATAAATCCACCCTATTAGCTTCCATCGAGGCAAAATGGGCCCTAGTGATTTCCCTATTTTCTGCTGATGTTGTGATTCTTATTCATGTTCCCGATAGTCCAGTGCTGCTCCTAACTGACTTGTTTACTGTTTTGGGAAGTTATTGTCAGTGACCCCAAAAAACCCAAACATAGGTAGCTTCCAAAGCTGGCCAAAGTACACTATTAAAAAATGCCACCAAAATCCATAGGGAAAAGAAACTAAGTGCTTCAGTTTTTCACTCGTGGTTCAGTTTTGTTGAATGTGAAAGGGATTAGAATGAAGAATTGGTGGACTTGGAACCGTTTCTATGATCTCACAGGGTGTAGGCTGCCAGCAAGGATGGGATTAAATGGATTGATACTGCACCAAAACAAGCCTTTTGCTAATAAGCACACAAACTGAACAAAGAATCCCAGGAAAGCCTGTCAATACCTAACAGCGCTGCTAATTAACTACATATTAAACAAGCTTCACTTGCTTGGTCTAGCTTTAATAGCAGCCAGCCATACTGAGTACATGCTAATCTCCTTCTCAGCTTCTCTTATTTGGAGTACGTTAATTGCAGCCCAGGCAGAAGATCAAATACTCTTGTAAATTAAAAATCCACACTGGAATCAAATTACTAAAATAGCAACAGACATTATTAAAAACAGAAAGGGCTTGGGGGGGGGGGGGGGGGGAATTCATTGTTAGGCTTGCATGAGTAAGTGTGACCATTCCTGTTGCTTGAGTTATCATCTGCATGAATTCTCAAAGATTATACCTGTTTAGTATTTGACCAGTTTAAGGCAATGGGGCCAAATCTTGAGGGCCTCACTTCAGTGGGAGTTTTGCCTATAAAGAAAGATAGGAATTTCAATCAGATTAGGTTGTGGTTTGATGGACACTTTTCCTGTTTGATATCAGAGGATGAAAGGAAACATAGGCCAGAACTGTTCCGTCTGCTTCTGTGGGCAGATGGAATGAAGACCCGCAAATCCCCGACCCTGGAGATGTGGAAGGGGAAGACGGTTGCCTTGGCAACAACATTCGCTCCTACTCCCAGGCCCGGTGAAGGCCCTCTGTGAAAATAGAGGCTTGCTTGTGAAGGGACCCACTTTGTCCCCACACCAGCCCCACAGGGATTCCTCTCAACTATTAAGGAGTAAGGACCTGATCTTATAAACACATAAGCACATGCTTAACTTTAAGCATGTAAGTAGTCTGGATGTCAGTGGTATTGCTCATGTGCTTAGAGTAAATCATGTGCTTAAGTGTTTACAGGATTGGTGCCTAAACCACTCTCCCACTCCATGCTTCATAGCTGCCTGGAGGATGGGTTGTATGGGCAGCATCACCAGGTGAGTTCTGGGCAGCATGTTTCCCTTGCCCCTGGGCAGACTTGTATCTGACAGACCCCCAAAATCTGTAAAAATCTCTATAGATCTTGGGCCCAACAGACTCCCCAGCACCTTTTATTTGCAGCAGCAAAAACAACAAAAAGTAAGAAACTTCCTAGAGTTTCCACTTCCCTATGTGGGGTTTTCCTGTGTAGGCTGGATGATTTGGGTTAGGGTCACTTACTGCAGACGCAGCTTGATTTTCACTCTCTCTGGTGCACACACATGCACACTCTTGCTCATACACACGCCCCATTTGTGCTGCTATCTCCATGTTAACCAACACCACAGACAAAGGAAGTGTCCATTCTTTGTTCCTCTTTTAGAGTAGTCAGGCATAGGTCAGCAGTATTACTTCTGGGAATTGCCAGACATTCATGATAAGCCAAATCACAAAATTCTTACTCCGTTAAAACTCCCATTGATTGAATAAGGAGTGCAGAGTCTATCAGTTTCATTAAGAGTTAATGTTTGTAAAGTACTTTGATTATACAGAACCAAATTCTACTGAGTGCTGTAAAGCCAGAGTAACTCCTGGATTAATTGAGTTTCTTTGGATTTATATCTGTGTAACTCAGAGCAGAATTTGGTCCATAACGAGGGCCGGCTCCAGGCACCAGCTTACCAAGCAGGTGCTTGGGGCGGCCACACCAGAGAGGGGCGGCACATCCGGCTCTTCGGCGGCAATTCGGCAGTGGGTCCCTCACTCCTGCTCGGAGCGAAGGACCTCCCGCCGAAGTGCCTCAGATCGCGATCGGGGCTTTTTTGTTTGTTTGTTTGTTTTTTGTTTTGCGGGGTGGCTGCTTGGTGCGGCAAAAACCCTGGAGTCGGCCCTGTCCATAACACACAAATATAAATGTTAAGGGTTATTTTGTATCTAAAACTTATATTTAATAGTAGTGAAATCTGCCTTAAAAAATTATCCACAGAAACAACAGAAATAAACTGAGTTTAGCAAAAGAACAAATAAAACTTTGCTGGAAACCTTGGGGAACAATGTATGGTGACTATTTAAGACTTGGTATTGCCTATTAGTGGTATTGCCTTTGCAGATTCATGGTCATTTGCAGAAATCTGACTCAACAGGACTGAGAAGGTATATGGGCCTGATCCTTTGACACTCATACACATATTCCCACTGAAGCCAATGGGACTACTTGCCAGAATGAGTTTTGCAAATTTGGGCTATATAATAGCTATACGTAGCTGAAAATGAAATGTAACTCCCTTGAAATACCCTATATACCATAAACTAGAGCAATATAAATGATGACAAAGTTGTGGGTAGGATTTTAAAAGTACCTTGGTGACTTTAGGCACCGCTGAAAATCCCACCCTGAGTTCACATGGAGCATCTTTACCTGGCACCATTACATCCATTAACATTGCTTTAAAATATTGGGCTTAAATCTACACTGCCTTGCACTCTGTGTAGTTACACCTCTACCCTGATATAACGCTGTCCTCGGGAGCCAAAAAATCTTACCACATTATAGGTGAAACCGTGTTATATCGAACTTGCTTTGATCTGCCGGAGCACGCAGCCCCGCCCCCCCGGAGTGCTGCTTTACCGCGTTGTATCCGAATTTGTGTTATATTGGGGTAGAGGTGTATTTGCACTACTGTAAAATGCTCCCATCCAGTTGTGTACAATTTTACACTCACTTTGAACAGGTATAAATTTCTACACAAGCTGCAGGATCATGGAGTACCAGTGCCATGGAATCTAATAATTTTCACGTTTAACAGAGTAACAGGAAATTTTTATCCTGTTAACTAACCTCTATTATGCAATTGACTGAGCTCCTGAGTTTAGTTTGTCTTACTAACTCTCCTCACTTTTTTTCATCTTTATATATGTTATCTATTAATGCTCACAGGCGTAGAAGTGTATTTGCTTTCCTAACTCTGCTACCCTCATGCCTCTGGACTGATTATCTTTTGGCATTTTATATTAATCCTTGGTAAGTGATTTTACTTGTTTTTCCCTATGCAATAGCTAAACCATATTAATTTCCCAATACATGAAAAATGTGCTCTTTTGTTTTCAAATGGTTGGAAGTTCTTGAAGTTACAATAATTTTCATGTGCTGAAATATGGACTGGAGATAGTGTGTGTGTGTGTGTGTGTGTGTGTATCAAAATACATGCTACTCGCTTCACATTTTGCTTGTTTATGCTCCTACCCATTTTGTTACTTAAAAAGAAAATTTTGTAGTGGTCACTCTCACGCACTTCATTATTGTCCCTGTGCAACTTTTGTCACTTTATTATAAACCCCCTTGTAACTTTTGCTTCATCCACTTGCTGATTGCCTGATGTTGCTTTCTGCTGCCATCTTCTCTTACTAATTGCTTGGTGTTAGCTCACCTGGGTAAATCCAGAACAACCCATTTGTTTTTAAAGGTGCAATCTTTCTCCACCAAAGTAAATAGGTGTTTTGCTGTTGGGAGCAAAAACTGGCCCAGAATTTGTACAGCAAATGCTTTGAGCTAGCTCTCCCCAACCCTAATAAATGGGTCACACCTTATATTAAGGTTCCATTTATAAAGGATTAATAAATGATTGATGTTTTGATAAGTGGTTAATCAATTGATTTAGATCCAAAGGCTTCTTACACCCTGGTTTATACAGGTCTGTCTCATCTTACACAGGGGTTCCGTTCCGCGGTTAACGCGTAAAGCGAAAACCGCATATAGCCAAAATCCCATTGAGTTCAATGGCGGGCGAAATCGCCCGCACTACAGGTATAGTATTAAAATTGTTGTTTTTCTCTTTTTTTTTGTTTTTTGTTTTTGCCGACCGCGTAAAGTTGAAATCGTGCATGTTAAATGAGTGTAAGATGCGACAGACCTGTAACCATCTCCAACTTCTTTAATTGCTGCATTTATGAACAGCCATAACATGGACCACCCATGTAAATAGCTTGCTTATAAACATACAAAATCATAAATGAAATCTTAATATATGTATGACCAAGAAATTTTTACTTAATGGGTGGGAGTTTGTGCTCCTCTAGATCTGAAATCAAAGTGATGCCTCTGCTGTTTGGTACTAAAATCAAGAGAATGGCTCTCTCTCGCTGTTGCCAAAATCTTTTACCAGGATGGTGGCAGTATTCTTGTGGAATGGCAGTGCCCAGTTAAGTTAATCAGAGGAATATATTATACAAGGATTGTGGAGATGAAGTATTATCTCTGGTTTTGTTGCCTATTTAAAAGCACTCCTCTAAATTGGGATCGGATCTAGATAAAGTAAACTTTTTGATTACTAGAGAAAGGGGCCGAGTCTGCTCCCATGGAAGCCAATGGGAGTTTTGCCATTGACTTCTATAAGAGCAGGAGCAAACCCTCCAAAAATCACTCAAGGCCTGGTACTCCATTGACCTGCCCCTTGTGTCGGGGCACTGGAACAATTTGTATAGTGGGGGTGCTGAGAGCCATTGAACCAAACTGTAACCCTGTATATAGTGAAACCCACTTCAAGCCAGGGGGTGTGGCAGCACCCGCCGCACCCCTAGTTCCAGCACCTATGCTTTGTGTAGTCATTTACACCAATCTAAAGTGGATGTAACATGCTATCAAATCAGGATGCTAGTATTCTACACCCACGCTGCACTATGTAAATGACCCCACAAGATGCGGCACTGTGGAGAATCAGGCCTTCAGAGTGTTAGATTAGTTTTTACTAAGCCTATATTAAATCTATAATGTAAATGGAATACCAGCATGAAATGAAATCTCGTTTCAAGCATCCTTGTTTTACGTGCAGTTTGGTTATGACGTTTTGTGAATACTCAGCAGCCATTGCAATGTAAAGTAACAAAGGACTCTTGAGATTCTGAAAGCTTAATAAATGTTTTTTGTTTGTCTCATGAGGTATGGATGTCAATCATCTGTTTTATGTGCCTATTGAAGTGTTTCTTGGAGGAGATTTCTTAGAAGCACTCACATCATAGGCAGCACTTTAATATTTTTCCTTTTAAATTAATCCTGTATGCCAAGCTTTCAGATTTACCCTAGTCACAAGGGATAACATTTGGATAGCCTGGATAAATTCATTCTAAAGACTTCTTTGGCAAAACTACTGTTAAGATGTAAAATAAATGTTTCAAGGGTATGGGTATAGTCAAGGTGCACATGTGTCGGTGTCTAAATAGCAAAAAGTTATTTCAAGTTAGATAGATAATGGTATATATTGTATTACATAGTAATTGTTCCACACTAGTGTAGAAATGTTATTGGCATCGCTATGTTAACTCTGCAGACGCACCATCTGTTATGAATGAAAATGGATTGTTATAATACAACAAGAAGGTACTGCCCAGAGTAGTAGCTGATGATGGAGCTGATCAAAAAACTTCTATTGAGAGGGAATTATTTAGAAAGAAAACAAGCCGTTTTAGCTTCATTCCGTTTTTTGTTGTTTTATGAAAAAAATCAGAACAAATTTTTTAGAAACATATTCAAAACTTTAGTTTCATTTCCAAAAAATATGTTTTGACTTTTTGGGGTGTTTTTTCCCTTCCTCTTACTTTTTTTTTTTTTTTTCCTTTTGAAATTTCCCCCTCCTCCTTTTTATTCCTCTGGAGATAAAAGGAGGGAAAACTTAAATTTTCTCTTTTTCCAATTTCCTCTGTATTTTTCCTTGCTATTTCAAAACATTTTTTGAAAATACCAATTTTTTTAAAAAAAAAAGCATTTTGAATTTGTTTAAAAAAATTAAAAATTAGTGTTCCCGTTTTTGGATTTTAAAAAATCTAATTTCAACCAATCGTAGCTAGTATAAATTGCTTTAGCCAAGAGTATCTAGAAATCACTTGATTATGACCATGAAATAAAAAAGTTTTAACTTTATTATAGCAGGACATACTTAAGGGCAGATATCACTAATGTCGCAGAAAAAGTATTTAGCACATCTGATGGGCCTTTTATGGAGCAGAAATTTGTTCAAGCTGTCTGATTGTCCTAGCAGACATGATCGATAGTTCTTAGAAACTGTAGCTAAATTAATTCAGAATGTGCTCATTTGGACATATAATCTGACTGGTTAACATTGTTCCAGCTGTCAGTGAATTTAACCTCTTCAGAGGTAAGCAGTAGACAGTGTAGTGAGTTAGAGAGACAAGGTGGGGAAGGGAATATCTTTTATTGGACCAGCTTCTGTTGGTGAGAGAGACAAGCTTTCAAGCTTATGCAGAGCTCTTCTTTGGGTCTTCTTTAGTGTGTGAATTGTCACATATTAGAACTGTTTTCAGACAGACGTGAGCCAGGATTCCGTGTCTGGAACAATACGTAATGTATGATGGTGGTTAGTATACTGCACTTTTTATTTCCATTTCTTAAGGATTACCTTGCTTAACTCACTCATTTCCTACTTCTGTTGAAATGTGTGGGATATTTGCCATTGCCTTCATTGTGGAAGCAGGGGATCATTCCTTATTCTGATTATGTAGTGTATGTGAAATGCCATGCATAGGCTAGAATTTCTTAGCCTCATGTGTGTTTGGAAAGGAGGAAGTAGGTTGCAAGGGGCTTCCAATCCTTGCACACTTGTGAAGGGCCAGGCATAATCTCAGTCCTTGTGTTTCTATCATCTGTATGGTGGCACTAGCTTTCCTAGAGGAGATTGGACCAGGTGAGGCAGGGACAGAGCTGAAGTGACTGTGATGGAACTTTATGCTGCAATTCATAAAGGGATGTAGCAGGCTAATTTGGCTTGCACTTTTGGAGGGATTATGCCAGGCTCAGGCACAAGGGGTGAAATTTGTGCCCTTTGAAGTTGGTTGCAAAATTCCCATTGACTTCAGCATAATCAGGATTTCACCCCAGGTCTCTGAGCATGGTTGCCTGTCTCTCCTTCTCTGAAATGCAAGCAGTGCCTTAACGCCATAGGGTGAAATCCATAGGGAGTTTTGCCATTGACTTCAAAGAGATCAACTTTCCACTCACACTCCTGACCTATTAAGGAAATCATAAAACCTACACATTGAATTCAGATGGAAACCAGTTCAATTTTGACAGTAGGGCTAATTTTTAATCAAGTCCAGATGATGAGTTATACTGAAAAAAGCTGTTTGTCTACCTTACAGGAGTAAAAATGGATTAAAGAAGAGGAAGCTGACCAAGTATGTGACTTTTTGATATTTAAATAATATTTTTAAAAAATTGATGGTCACATTAGACTGAACAATAATTTTTATGACTATAGGAAATGTGTTGAAGTTACAGAGATAAATATTCTTCATTCTGGTAAATACCTCCAGAGAGAGATTGTAGCAAGAGATGTCTGGAAGCACATGGCAACAGATAATTACACTAAATCAGTGGGTCGGGACCCAAAAGTGGGTCAGGACCCCATTTTAATGGGGTCGTCAGGGCTGGCTTAGACTTGCTGGGGCTCGGGGACGAACTGAAGCCCGAGGGATTCAGCCCTGGGCGGCAGGCTCAGGTTACAGGCCCCCGGGCTGGGGATGAAGCCCTTGGGCTTTGGCTTTGACCCCTTCCCTGCCCAGGGCAGTGGGGCTCGGGCTTTGGCTTTGGCTCCCCCACCTGGGGCAGTGGGAATCAGGCGGACTCAGGCTTTGGTCCTCCCTCCTGGGGTCATGTAGTAATTTTTGTTGTCAGAAGTGGGGGGTGGGTCGCAATGAAGTTTGAGAACCCCTGCACTAAATCAAGAGTACCCTGTGTTTTGTTTTATCTTCTCAACAGCTGGGTTGTAGTAAAAGAGCTCCTGACTGATAGAAAATTAACCACTGGGGAAAAATCAATGATACTAAGTTAGCAATTCCAACAGGGCCTTTCCTCATTTAAAAATGACAAACGGTGAAAAACTGCTATTTCCTTCTTGATATCAGGCTCTGATGGCAGTTGCTGTTGTGTATTAGATCATTAATGTTAAACAGGTAAACAGGAGTAATTATCTGGAGATAAAAGACAGTTCCTTGGTGGCATATTGCTTCAAGTAAATGAACGGATTATTGTGTACATGCCTCGGTATTTTGTAAATTAAAACATGATAATTAAGTGAGGAAAACTCTTTGCTTGTATTTCATTATTTAAGGTGTTAAACTAATGACTCATTCTTTAGCCTGAATTCAGGGCCTGATCCTCAGCTGGAGTAAACAGGCATAGCTCCATTAGAGTCAATAAAGCCAGGCCACTTTATACCAGTTGAAGATCTGGCCCAATATGTCTGTGCTCCATTGTCTTCAATGGGCGTTGTGCCCATTTATGCTAGAGTAGAATTTGGCTTCTAATGTCAAACATGGCAAACACCTGAACTTCTCAAAGTCAGTGGAAAACAATTGTTGCTCTGGGGCTGAAATTTGCATTTTTTACATCATAGACCTTGTCTGACCCAAATTCAGGCCAATGAAACCTATTAATGGCTTGTGTGATTATGGTGCATGTGAAATTTAAAAAATTGTGTTTACCAGATAGTTCCCCCTGTATGAAAGGGATTTTTGTGTGTCACTATGGCAGTTTAAATGAGCTGCTTTTGCTGCCATCCAGGAAGTAGTGCCATTGTATTGTAATTAAAGATGACCAGAACATAAACCCTGGATAGGACCATCTGAACTGTGATGGGATTTAGAATCGGGATCCAAATCTGGCATCCCAGGCTCATTTTTAATTGAAATGGAGATTTCAATCAGAGCTATAGCTAGAGGGTCCCCTTTAAAACAGTTTGATTTGAAAGGTGAGGAGTTGGTAGCTCTCCTGACTCTCAATTCTATGTTCCGTTGCCAGTGGGCCAAATCCTGCATCCTAAATCAGGCAAAATTCAAACTGAAGCCAATGGGAATTTTGCCTCAAGAATTTAGCTTAATGATGTGGGTAGATTTAACCTATTAGCGGCAGTTGCCCACATGGCTACAATACAGTACATGTAATCACAGGTAAATGATTCATCAGACAGTATGTGTCACATTTCAGGTACACAGACTTCAGATTTTTTGCAAGCTCTATCCCAGGTATAATTACTTAGTAGAATACAATGCTAAAAATACAGATTAGTGAATTGTTAGTACTCAAAAACAAAACAAACCTATTTAAGAAATTAATTTCTTTTCCATGTGTTTTTGAAAAGCCCTGTGCAGTTGGATGACTTCGATGGCTACATCAAGGATATGGCCAAAGATTCAGATTATAAATTTTCTCTGCAGTTTGAGGTATGTATATGGAGACGACAGCTCCTGGCTGCCTCTCCCAAATTGGACTACTACTTTTGCCAGACTGAAAGAACCAGATGGGTGGTATGATTGCGGCATTCGGACCCACACATCTGTTGTAGCATAGTCCACGTGGCAGCCTAAGTTGACTGCAATGCATTTTTAAAATGAAAAATGGCATTGGTGACAACCAAATCTTCTGAAACAAAGGGACAGTTAACTGGGGACATATGGTCTTGTTTGACTAGTTTATTTCCCCAGTGCTAAAAATGCAAGATTGTCAAGTGAAGACAAAAGGGAACTACAAACACTAGGTGGAATCTTGGATCTGTTGATCGTGGTGGCAAAACTCCATTTGACTTGATAGGGTTAGGATTTGACCCACTGTTCTCTCAGGTGGCACACATTGTGTTCATCTTATTTATGATCGTATGTTACAGAATATTTTAGATTGATTATTTAAGGTAATGAATAGTAATTATATAAATCTCAGGATCAAAAGCAGCTGTGAGTTGTAGGTAATTGAGGAAGCATTACTGAAATCTAGCTCAGATGGTGACACCATCTGATAGCTATTCAGTGGCCTATGTGGAATGAGTTTGGTAGATAGGAACAAAATCATCAGCTTAGGTGACAGTAACTGACAAACGTACTGACAATCTCATCAGGGTAGCCAAAGGTTGAATGGGCATGGAGACCAGACTTCCTTCCCACTCTTAGAAGTGGTCGCCCAGGTATGAGCCACATGATGAGGTATTACAAGGAAACTTGCTGTATCTGTAGTGTTCGTAAATAAAGTGCTTTGGAGTCCAGGGTTGTCAGTCTGGCCGTTGTCAGAAGCATTATTCACAAACCATTCATTTTCAGGCGTTAGTTAATTTAATTGCAACATTTTCCCTTCTGTCATACACAGGAGCTAAAACTGATTGGGCTTGACATACCCCATTTTGCTGCTGACCTTCCCATGAATCGATGTAAAAATCGCTATACAAATATCCTGCCATGTAAGTACAATAGACGCAGACTCCTGCGAGGGTCCCTTGGGGGAAGGCGGGGGGGAAAAAGAGTTTTAATTGTGGAATTGGTGCAGGTTTTCCAGCAGGTAAAAGCTTGTTTTAAAAGCTGTCCTTGGAGAGAAATAGGTCTCCCTTCGTTTTGAAAGGGTGAAGCTCTGTGTTTTATATTTGTCATGATTGAAAATAGTAGGTCATTCCTACTGCTGAGCAGCCTTCTTCAACTTTTTTTTCCCTCATGATTTTAATGAGATCCAAAGAGACCTGACAGTGAAGACTCTTGAAGGCAGGAGCGTGTAGCAGTAATGAAGCCGTATCCATGCAGCGAGAACTGGGCATTACTTATTAGTATGGCATGCTGGCCCTCTACAGTTTTGCCTTTGTTATGCTGGAGCGTGTGTAATTGTGTTTCAGGATTTTAAGAGATTATTTAAAACCTCCCACCATTTGCTCAAGCTGCCCCCATTCTTTTTCCCCCCCTTCTTTTTACAGATGACTTTAGCCGTGTCAGATTAATTTCGATGAATGAAGAAGAAGGTTCAGACTACATTAATGCCAACTATATTCCTGTAAGTGATAAGACTCAAATCAACCTGAGGCTTAATGTTCTTAGTAGGGAGATATCACACAGGTAGTGAAAAGAGTGAAAATTCCTAGCAGTTTGGTGACTTCTTTTAAAAAAAAAAAATTACCGCAATGTCACTAATTTTGCCTTCAGTGAACAGTACTTTTCACCAGCCCATAAACCTGTTTTTGTGCACATTTTGCCACAGCAACACTGAAATTTGCATGCATCCTGTTACAGGTGGGAGGAAATTGGCTGCAGACACGGGTGAAAAGGTTAAACTCTGCACTGCTATTCTCAAACAGCTAGAGGTTTTTTTTCCAATATTTTAATCTATGTGGAATAAAGGCAGTGAAACAGAGATATAGGTACAGTTAAAATGCACAGAGAACAAGCCCAGGGCATGGTGTGCAAACATAGCTTCTATTTGCACTACCCTGATCTTGCTATTGTTCTGTTCACGCCTTCTTCCTTGCACTATGTTAGAGCAGCTGTCTAACAGCTCATAGCGATACTGCTGTAGTTTTAGGACAGCAAGTGAAGAACGCTGTATTCAGCTGTAGCTGTGTGGGATATGTAGGGAGGCAGAATGTAATTTTGTACATAGGAACTTGGCCAGGATGCTGGGAAAAGCTCCCTACTGTTATGAAAAGTGCTGTGGCATCTTTAATGACTACAAATGGTTGGCATATCTGTGTTCTAGTTCTCCACTGAAACAGCACAGTGGCCCATAGCTTCATGCTAAGGACTTGGTTCAGTACTGACTAAAATGGGAAGAGCATTACTGAATTAATATCACCACTTTGTGCATCACTTTGGAAGTCTCCCATCCAAACACTGACAAAGCACTGACCTTATTTAGCCTCCGAGATCTGACAAGATCACAGAACTAAGTGATAAGGCCATGCAGGCTCTTTTTCTTCATTAAATATTAATAATGTGTACATTTGATGCTAGTCAGAAAACTAGAATGACAATTTTATAGCATCCATATATAGCATCCAGATATATATGTCTCTTCAGCTTTTGTCAGTTCCGTGTTTATATTTTAGATGTGTTTAATACTACGCACAAAAACCACCTTCCAATACTTTAGATACAACACAGCTAAGTTAGTTTTTGGCTTATTTGGATGATCACTCTCCCACTTGGCACCTCATGGTAGTTTCATCTCAAACTCTAGTGTTCATGGTGATCTGCTTTCCACTGTCAACAGAAATGTGCTGCATCAGTTATATACACACCCCATAGGAAGCAAAATGAAATGTGTTCTGTACTTACGAATTATTATGAGTGTTGAGTTTGAACTGCGTTTTTTACAGATGGGAAATGCTGAATTAGGCTGCCTATGGAAAGTGCTTCCAAATCATCAGTATTTTAATTACTTGAATGCTGTAGGCTGATACATCCATAGCCTAATTCATGCAGGAACATACTGTGGTTTGAACGTATCTGTTATTTTTTCCCCCAACTACTCTGGGTATTAGATAACTTTCTGAACCTAGTTCTGCTGATAATCTCCTGTGTTCACTGTAAACAGGGAGCCAGGGTCATAGTTAAATCAGCCCTGACACCCAGCAAATATGCCTGATGTTAACTAGCAGATACTGAAATGGTATCTTGTATTATTTACTAAATTACCCTTTTCTACAATAGTGCCCAAAAAAGTATCTACAAATAAAAGCAGACAAATTAGCGGAGGGATAGGAATGTGAATGTATGGGTATAATTTCTCCTAGAGGTGCTTCAGGTTTAGTAAATGATAAATATATGATAACCTTCTAAGAGTTATGACTTTTAGAATAATCTATTACTATTATTTTAGGTCTAAGATTACCAGGTATTTTACTGATTTGGGTCTTGAGCTTGCAGACACTTATGCATGTGTTCCTTGATTAGAGTTCAGCTGATTAATCCTTTCCTTTCGATTCTATTATTAAATTTAATTAAGGTGCCACTTAATTTATTTGGGGGAAAGGACAAGATAAGGATATATAACATTGTACTTGTGAATTCACAGCATATTAAATTTATTAAAACTTTGTTTAAAAAAAAAACCAGCCCTGATTTGGTTTTCAGTTTTTATGCTGTTTATTTTTTGTACTTTTGGACAGTGAGTTTACATTGGTCAGTTTTACTTTCTGTCCATACACAGGCTAATTTCCAGGTTCTTCTGTAGTATTTGGGACTCAAAATCTCCTTGGAAATATTTTGATTTAAAAAAAAAACAGTTTTCACTGAATTAAAAACAACAAACCAAACAACTTGATATAGGCTTCTTCATGTTAGGAATTACTTTAAAAAAGCTCTTTGAATTTTGGACTTAAACATTCAAAAATGTAACTTTAAAAACATGTTGTATATATGCTCCTGAGGAGAATTTATGTTCTGAACAGTCTGTGAAATGAAGTATATTAATAAATTGCACCTGTCTCTTAGGGCTACAACTCACCACAGGAATACATTGCAACCCAGGGGCCATTGCCAGAGACAAGGAATGATTTTTGGAAGATGGTTCTCCAGCAAAAATCACAAATCATTGTTATGCTCACTCAGTGTAATGAAAAAAGAAGGGTAGGTAACATAATCCTATGTGCATTTTGCAAGGAAATAAATAATTTCAGTGGTCATTAGGTTCCTTTGCATTATTTTGTAACACAAAACAGCAATATAAGGCAAGCTCTTGAAAGCCCTCTGCACCCAAAACTCCTAATGAAATCAATAGGAGATCCAGAAGGGGACCCATGGTCACTTATTGTAAGCTCTTCAGTGTAGGAATAGTTCTATTTGTTTGTAGTGTTAGGGCACCTAGCACAATGGGTCCCCTATTTGAATTGAGACCTCTCTCGGTGCTACTGTAACACAAATAATTAAGATTAATGATAATAAATAACAAGTCTAAAGAGCTGGTGCTGAATGATACCATGAGTAATGGTAGCAAGTAGAGCCATAATATTTTAATCCAAATATGAACTTCTTGAAGTTCAGCTGTGTTTGGACCTCAGGTTTGGTTTTGGTCCCATCTTTAGTAGGAAGTTACCTGTTGTAAGAGGCTGACAAGATTTTTATCAAGAGTAAAAGATTTTTACATGACTCAAATTAGACTTTAAAATGGCAGCAATAGGGAGTGGATGGCTCAGGGGACTGTTACTGGTTTGAATCCAGGCTGGTGGTGAATGAAAAATTGTTACTGTCTGATGGCTGTTTGTTGGCATCTCTGAAATGAGTGGTAGTCCCAGCTCAGTTCCTAGTCTACAGGTGTGTATCCACATCACAAAAACTACTAACACAGTTGGTACCAGTTGTCCCCCTGACTGGGAGTTTCAGCAGAGAGGCCGAGAATTGGCTGGGCATGGTGACTGAATGTGCTGAAAGCCTTTGAACCAAACTGTGAACCCTGTATGTAATGGAATCCACTTCAAGCCAGAGGGTGCAGCAGCACCACCAGGACCCCTAGTTCCAGCACCTATGGACTGAAATAGAGTCTTACTCTCCCTTCAGGTCAGCACATTGTTGGGGCAGCGTGGAGGAGCTGCCAGAGCCCATGCTGTACCTCTTGTGTGGATGAAGAGAACACTCATTTCCTAGTACTGTTGTTCTGGTGGTATTAGGAACAAGAGAACAAAACAATACTAAAATTAAAGATGGCACCAGTGATCTTTTTCTCTTCGTTGAAGCGTGCCTCCAAATAGCTTATTGTTCTCTGTAAATTAGCATTTGACACAACACGCTTTATTGCATGGTTTCAGTGCAGCCATTATAACAGATGTCAATGTAATAGATATTCTTTCATTAAACTGAGATAACCAAATCAACACAGTCTTGGCCATGATATTTGTAGCATCTACATTTGCTTTCCAGCTATTTTTTTTGTTCTAGCCATTTGCACAGATAACACGCATGTAAATGACATGCAGATGTCAATGGTATTTTAATAATAATAGGGACACTGTCAATGTGAGAGCTGTGTAAAAATGACAAAACATTATTTTTCAAAATGGAATGTGAAATATAATAATCAGCTAATGCATGTACATTGCTTATGATCTTGGATATCATAGAATCATAGAAGATTAGGGTTGGAAGAGACCTCAGGCGGTCATAGAGTCCAACCCCAACTAAATCATCCCAGCCAGGGCTTTGTCAAGCTGGGTCTTAAAAACCTCGAAGGATGGAGATTCCACCACTTCCCTAGGTAACCCATTCCAGTGCTTCACCACCCTCCTAATGAAATAGTTTTTCCTAATATTCAACCTAGACCTCCCACACTGCAACTTGAGACCGTTGCTCCTTGTTCTGTCATCTGCCACCACTGAGAACAGCCGAGCTCCATCCTCTTTGGAACCCCCCCTTTCAGGTAGTTGAAGGCTGCTATCAAATTCCCCCTCACTCTTTTCTTCTGCAGACTAAATAAGCTCAGTTCCCTCAGCCTCTCTTCATAAGTCATGTGCTCCAGCCCCCTAATCATTTTCGTTGCCCTCCGCTGGACTCTCTTCAATCTGTCCACATCCTTTCTGTAGCGGGGGGGCCAACACCGGACACAATACTCCTACTAATGCAGCCCAACTAATGTTAGCCTTCTTGGCAACAAGGGCACACAGTTGACTCATATCCAGCTTCTTGTCCATTGTAATACCCAAGTCTTTTTCTGCAGAGCTGCCACTTAGCCAGTCGGTCCCCAGCCTGTAGCAGTGCAAGGGATTCTTCTGTCCTAAGTGCAGGACCCTGCACTTGTCCTTGTTGAACCTCATCAGATTTCTTTTGGCTCCAATTTGTCTAGATCACTCTGGACTCTAAACCTACCCTCCAGCATATCTACCTCTCCCCCCAGCTTAGTGTCATCTGCGAACTTGCTGAGTGTGCAATCCATCATCCAGATCATTAATGAAGATGTTGAACAAAACTAGCCCCAGGACCAACCCCCGGGGCACTCCGCTTGATACTGGCTGCCAGCTAGACATCGAGCCGAGCCCAACAATCTAGCCAGCTTTCTATCCAGTTTATAGTCCATTCATCCAATCCATACTACTTTAACTTGCTGGCAAGAATACTGTGGGAGACCGTATCAAAAGCTTTGATAAAGTCAAGGTATATCACGTCCACCGTTTTCCCCATATCCACACAGCCAGTCATCTAATCAGAGAAGGCAATCAGGTTGGTCAGGCATGACTTGTCCTTAGTGAATCCATGTTGATTGTTCCTGATCACCTTCCTCTCCTCCAAGTGCTTCAAAATAGATTCCTTGAGGACCTGCTCCATGATTTTTCTGGGGACTGAGGTGAGGCTGACCAGTCTGTAGTTCCATGGATTCTCTTTCTTCCCTTTTTTAAAGATGGACACTATATATTTTCCTTTTCCCAATTGTTCAGGACCTCCCCAAATCGCCACAAGTTTTCAGAGATAATGGCCAATGGCTCTGCAATCACATCAGCCAACTCCCTCAGCACCATCGGATGCATTGCATCTGACCCCATGGACTTGTGCATGTCCAGCTTTTCTAAATAGTCCCTAACCTGTTCTTTCACCACTGAGGGCTGATCACCTCCTCCCCATACTGTGCTGCCCAGTGCAGCAGTCTGGGAGCTGACCTGGTCTGTGAAAACCGTGGCAAAAAAAGCATTGGGTACTTCAGCTTTTTCCACATCATCTGTCACTAGGTTGCCTCCCCCATCCAGTAAGGGTCCCACACTTTCCCTGACCACCTTCTTGTTACTAGCATACTTGTAGAAACCCTTCTTGTTACCCTTCACATCCCTTGCTAGATGCAACTTCAATTGTACTTTGGCCTTCCTGATTACACCCCTGCATGCTTGAGCAATATTTTTATACTCCTCCCTAATCATCCGTCCAAGTTTGTTACTAGTAAGGAGACATGGGCTGCAGTATGATGATGACCCCCAACTCTGTGTATATGTCTTGTCTAGTTTGGATGATGCAGTTCAGCGTCTCAGTCGCTGTCTAGTCAAGGTTGGCACATGGATGATAGTGAGCTGGCTGAGGCTCAACCCAGCTAAGATTGAGGCAATGATGGTGGGTTTGGGGAAGCAGCCAGGGGAGATGGCAGGGGTAATATCAGCCCCTTGGATTGAAGGAGTACATCTGTCATTAGTTAAGTATTCACAACTCGGGTTATTTTAGCCCCCCAGCTACTGTTTGATGACCACATCACAGAAGTGGCCCAGTCTGTTGTTTCCCATCAGTGTCTGGCTAGGACACTGTGGCCTTTCCTTCTGGCCACAGACCTTGCCACCATTATCCGTGCTTTTGTTACCTCAAGATTTGGCTATTGCAATGCTCTCTACATGGGATTACACCTTAAAACCATTCAGAGACTGAGGCTGGTGTAGAATGCAGCAGTTCGCTTATTGAGCAGGGCATAGTAACAGCAATGTTCCAGGATAACTAGCTGCCCATTGGTCTCTGGGTTGAGTTTAATGTGTTGGTTATGAGCTATGAAGCCATATATGGGCTGGCACAAGCCAATGGACACGCCTTTCTCCCCATGCCATACTGCCACAGCTGCAGTCAGCATGGATGCTTAACTGGATCCTCCTCATTGTAAAAGAAAGAGGGTGCCTGGCAGGCTGTTCTCTGTGGGAGCTCTGGGACTCTGGAATTTGGTCTTCCCACCCTCTTGTTCCAAAATAACCCAGATTTGCAAGCACACTGAAAGAGACACCTGTTTCATAGGGTCTCTGGAGAAGGTTGAGGGTGTGCTTCTTAGGTGGTGAATGGGGTAAGTGGTTCCGGTGGAATGGATTTTAATGCTGCTATGGTTTAATTTTATTGTATTTACTGCATGGTTGATTGTTAGGGTGCCTAGAGCCTTGGTTGATTGTCTTTATTATTTTAAATCTAAATAAAATAAAAATATTACATCATGGTCCTTTACACTGTAATAGAGAACACTTGGAACATATATTTTCATTTCCTTTCATGTATGATCTTGTTCACTGCATTTTGGAAACTTGTTGTCTGAGATCATCAATGCTCTTCTATTAGGGATGTCAACTGTCTCCAGTCTATGGGCCATAATGAGACCCATAGACCTTTCTTTTGCCATAATCAGGCTGCTTTTCTAAAGCTTCATTTTTGTTGAGAGTTTACACACACACATCTACATAACACACACATGCTTCAGTGCCAAGCCAAATTCTGCTGTGTTGCTTCCCAAATTTGAGTCTAAATAGATTTTGATTGTACTGTTGTTTTTTCTTTTCTTCTAGGTGAAATGTGATCATTACTGGCCTTTTACAGAAGAGCCTATTGCTTATGGGGACATCACAGTGGAGATGCTTTCTGAGGAGGAGCAAACGGACTGGTCTTATAGGAACTTCAGAATCAGTTATGTAGGTGATGGGAAAGATGTTTCATTGCTTTTCATTAGAGATTAGCCCACCCTGCAAAATTCGGATCCATATCTCACACACTCCAAAATTCAGGGGTGTTCAGATCTGGAGTTTTGGGGCAGTTAGTTAGAGAAAGAGGGACCAACAGCAACATTCATAAATAGGTTTTGATTGCAAGCATCTTCAGATTTCAAAGATGTTCTGATCTGGGGTTTTGGTTCAGGCCCTTCTCTTATTTCTATCCATCCCAGGCATCTCCAGGGCGTAAAGGTTGTCTCTCTAGTCTAGATCCTAGTGGACAAATGTTCAAACCACAAAAACTGTTATGCTTGGTACGTGGCTGCTGTGGTGTAAAGGAGAACTAATGGTGCCCTATGTGGACACCTGAGGTTTCCCAGGAGGATCCTTACATAGTGTAGACCTGATGCACAACATCTAGCATAATGGGGCCCTGATCATGACTGGGGCTTCTAAGTGCTAGTGTAGTACAAATAATTCATGATAATGGTTTCTTTGGAGACCACATTTCAACCACTTTTTTTTTTTTTTTTTTTTTTGGTCCTGTGTATCAGACGATGGTCCATTTTCAATTATAAACTGTTCAAGGCCTGAAAATAAGAATATAAAAGTTGAGGAATATTGTTTGTAAAGGAGGCAATTGCACATTATTTGTTGCATTCTTTTGATGCCATGTCCCTGAAATGCTGTTGAATAAAACAGAATTTAATCCATGAATGGTATTCCATCCCTTGGTGCTGTGGTAATAGAATGTTTTGCTGTATTAACTGCTCTAAGCAGAGGAAGTGGGAGGAGCCTACTGCACATTCCAATCTTTCAAACACTTGTACTTGGTTAAGGCAGAAGTACAGCTAGGAATGGGCAAAACAGTTGTCAAATGTAATGTAATAGAACTGAATCAAACTGCAACCATTCCAGTGCGTTCCCATACTTTTTAATTTGGACCAGAAAGGCTGGAAATAGTTCAAGAATGGACTATCAAAACCAGGAAATATAGAAATTATTTTGAGAGCATCAGATTTCTGAACCAAAAGTGTTTGGATAAGCATCCAGATTTTCAGGTGTCTATTCCAATTTCATCTCTGCCTCCCAATGCTTTGAATGGCACTACTAATTACAGGAATCATCATTTGAACTTGTGCAAGAATGGGAGACTGATACAGTGGATCAGAACCATAGTGCTGTAGGAATTTACAGCATCAACTCTCTGCCCTGCGTTGTGGGGATAAAAAACTGTCACTTGAGTGCATTTGTCTCAAAGCCAGATCCTTGTTTGTTGAAGTACTGTCCTAGCCTTCTAATACATTTCAGTTAGAGCGGTTAGAAATTTTATGTATGCCAAATGTTTGTTTAAAAAAAAGTCTTTTTTCCCAAAAAACTGTTTGTTTTTCTTTTTTTCCAATTAAACCTGAATGTTAAAATTCCCAAGTTTCTGGTCTTTCCAGAAAAATGGGGTGAAAAGAAAAAGGAGAAACAAAAACATAACCCCCAAACCATAGAATTTTAATATTAACTGAAAATATATTTCCTTTTTGAAACTGTGGAGCAAAAATAATGTGAAAATGTTCACATACGATCTTTACCATTTTTGACTAGCTCTAATTTCATTAGTCTGTATTTGTAAATGCATGAGTCAGATTGAACATGACCGCACGGGTAAAACAAATATGAACATGCTGTTATTCTGTTTTTTCCCCCTTAGGCTGATGAGGTGCAAGATGTAATGCATTTTAACTACACTGCCTGGCCTGATCATGGTGTCCCCACTACAAATGCTGCAGAGAGCATCTTGCAGTTTGTACAGATGGTCAGACAGCAGTCAACAAAGAGTAAAGGCCCCATGGTCATACACTGCAGGTAAAGGCTTAATTTTCCATTTCCCTTTAATGTGTAACTATTCAAATACATTGAGAAGAACACTGGAGGGAGGGATTTCTTTCCACCTTTCAGGTGCTGAGAACTGTATTTTTGTTTTGTTTTGTTTTTTTGTGTCTTATGGTAAAATCCTGGCCCTCTTGCAGTAAGTGAGAGTTTTGCCATTGACTTTAATGGGACCAGGATTTCATTCTGTGTTCCTAGATGTAAGTGGGGGGAGGGGGGAGAGAGAGAGAGATACCATATATTTTTATCATAGTAAAGTATTACAGGTCTGATCCTCAGCTGAGGAAAATTAGCCTCATGGACGTCAGTGGAGTTATGCTGTGTTGTTTTCTATCATCTGAGGACCTTGCCGTACACTTGCATTTCCATGTTTTTGCAATTCAAATGGAAAAATCAAAACAGTCTGTCAAGCAGTATGCCATTTCCCTACAGAGACGTACTCTGTGTAGATCATCACTCTCGGATAATTTGGCCTTCAGTACACAACGCTGGGAGTTAAATCCATGGGCCGGCAGTAAACCATATGACACAATATACAGGTTTTTCTTTTCTTGAGGGCAGCATTTTTATATAGTAACTGTCACCTTTGTTCATCATCAGGCTTCTTGTAAGACACTATTGAGCTCTCTGAAGGCAGCTGCTGCATTAATAATTGTACCAAATTGATTCCTGATGTAACTCCATTGTAGTGACATCAAAGATTAATTTGCCCCACAATGTGTAATGGTAAGACTGCTCCTGGTAATGGTAGATTATTATAGGGTGCGATGGTGCGGGACTCACCCCTGCGGTGCCTCCTGCTGGTAGTCTCAAGGAATTAACTCTTTCCAGCGCAGAGCACCCTCTGCAGGCCGGTGTCCTGCTGCTGCTGGTCCCCGTGTCCCTCCCAGGACCCCGGTGCCCTTGTACCTGGGGTGCTGCCCGTCCAGGCAATACCCCACAGATCTGGGTGTCCCCTCCCCAGGGAACCCCCACCCTCTATCCCCACCTTGCGTCAGCCTATGGGCTACTGCCAGTCACCATCTAGCCCCCTTTCACTGGGGCCGACTGCAGTCTGTCTAAACCAGTCATCATAGGTAAGGGAGGTTGTGACCTGCTGCCTTTCTCTGCAACCCAGTACCTCCAGGGGCCTTGTACAAGACCCCGCAGCCTGAGGAGTTGCTGGCCAGGAGCTCCCCAGCTCCTCTGGCCTTTTCCTCAGCCCTGCTTCACTCCAGTACCCTTTAGCACTCAGGCAGCTAGGTCTATCTCCCTCCTCAGCTAGAGGGAGACTGCCTGCTCCTGGCCCACTGCCCTCTTATAAGGGCCAGCTGGGCCCTTATTAAGCCAGCTTCGGGTCTAATTGGTGCGTGGCCCCCAGCTGAGGCTGCTTTCCCCAATCAGCCTAGGCTTGCTGCTTTCCTAGCAGCAGCCCTCTCCCAGGGCTGATTTCAAGCCTTTCAGGGCAGGAGCGGGTGACCACCCTGCTACATAGGGTTACGTAGTAGAAAGAGGTGTGTAACAGATCAGTTAGTGTGTGCTTAAACTGCTAGGTATACCCTGAATGGAACTCAAAGCTTTATGAAGCTATTAGCCCCACCTCCCTACATCACCCTTCCTAAGGCATCTGCTCACAAGCTGTGAAAATGTGTGTATGGGTATGCATAGATACAGTTATGTTGCATTCAAACAAAGTCAGAAGCCTCCAGCATAGCTTCCTCATTACTGAAGTGGTGTTTGGAACGTTCTGTCCTTTGCAGTCACATGGTGTGCCCTAAATAACGGTGACATTACTCAGCAAACAGCCTTTTACAATATCACCCTTTCTAGTTCCTCATGAGATTTCAGAATTCTCACTAGGAAGTGGTGCAATAGCAGAATTTTTCATTTCTAATAGTGTTCAGTCCTGCAGGTCTCCTTATGAGTTGTTCCACAGAATTTACTAGGTAAACTCATGGTGAGTACAGCTGCAGGACAGAGCCCTAATGCAAAATTGAGACAGACACTGGTAGGCTCAAAGAAGGGACTTATCTACAGCATTTAATTTCACAACCCTATACTTAACTCCCCTGGCTCATGCATACTTTGCATTGGGATAGTATGGGGGCTAGACCATTTAGGGTCTGACTTTTTCATAAGGATAATGCCACCTGCAGAGAAATGTGGTTTTGGATAGAATGCTAAAGTGCAGTGTAGGTCTTGCAGCGCATAGATAGAAGTAATGATTTCATGAAATCAGTGGAAAAATGAACCAATGTTTTCTGGATACTTTTGGAGACCATTAAAATTTTTATCTAACTTTAATGAATGCATGAAATTGATAGTCTGTTACTGGATTTATTAAACTACCTCTTAGAGTCATACATTTATTATTTTATCTATTGGAGTCATGATTTTTATCATGTCTGCCAAATTCATGAAAATGGATTAATTGATTAATGATAGGACATGTCAAGTTAAATAGATCAAAAAACAGTTATTGAATTCATGAATTTTTATCCCATCTCGGTCATATTTATAAAATCAACCACTTTTATTGGATTAATAAATATCCTACCAGTGCCCCAGATATGATATTCTATGCATCTGCCTAGTCAATTTATGCCTAAAGCCACCCCATGTCCGCATAAAACTTTTCTCTCAGGTATGCAAATAATATTTACCAATTTCACATACAGTTGTATCAAGAATGTGAAAGCAAATGGTTTGGTTTTTAGAATGTTGGATCCACACCTATTTACATCAAACTATTCTGCACCTTTAAAAATCAGGCCTAATAAAATTAAACTAAGATTTTCACTCTCTCTATTAAAACAAAATATATTGTGTGTGAGACTTTCTCTCTCTCTTTCTCCATCCCCTCCCTCACCCATCCAAAGTTAGCCTTTTAAATCCATATTTTGGCATTTAAATCAATTGCCTGATTTTAAAAGGTACTGAGCCCCCAGCAGCTGAAAATCTCTTCTGTGGCCCTCAAAACCGGTCAGTGTCACAGTGACCATTTCACAAGAAGTCTGTTGACTTTGCAGAGCTCTGAAACTAAACCTTGTGGAACTGCAAGTGTAACTTTGTCAAGCTCATTTTCTGTAGGCACCGTAATGTAGGTCTATCTGAATTCACAGATACAGCTCAAGTAGTTTTATACCTCTCATCATCATTAGGAAAAATATAAGGGAGAAAGGGAATTGCAGGTATAAGGGAGAAAGGTGGTCAGTCAAGAAAATGTAAGACAGTGAGAGCAGGCCAAATTTACCCCATCTGATTTGGCCCAGAATATCACTCTGAGGGTCGGAGTTTTTCAGCCCGGACAGTTTCAGCTAGGCAGAATTAGTCAATTGCCTATCACAGCTCTTCTGTATAACGATTTTAATTTTTTAAAGAAAGGTGAAATAATTGCAAAGCCTTTCGTCCTGTGCATTCTTTATAAGTGAACTGTGAATTACTGTGTGGCATATATTCAAAGGATTAGTCAATTGTGTGAATCCAGTGCAAATTAGACATATTTTCATCAGGATGATTATTTCATAATTCTGAATTACAGCACATCATTTGCTTTCTGTACCCCACAACCACTTATCCCCTCCACTCCCACCCCCAAAAAGTAGTAATCTGTAATGTTGTGTGTGTTACAGTGCTGGCGTGGGACGGACAGGAACATTTATAGCATTGGATCGGCTCTTACAGCACATTCGTGATCATGAGTTTGTAGATATATTAGGGCTGGTGTCTGACATGCGGTCTTATAGGATGTCCATGGTACAGACAGAGGTATGAATTTCATCTTCATGTATTTTCAAAATTAAATGTATACCTCTACCCCGATATAACATGACCCGATATAACACGAATTCTGATATAACGCGGTAAAGCAGTGCTTTGGGGGGGCGGGGCTGCGCACTCCGGCAGATCAAAGCAAGTTCGATATAACGCGGTTTCACTTATAACGTGGTAAGACTTTTTGGCTCCCAAGGACAGCATTATATTGAGGTAAAGGTGTATTAAAAATACCATGTTGTACTAATGTAGGTATCATAACTATTTCATGCTGCAGAGTCTACTGAGCTTCTTACACAGTCCTGTAAATAGATAAAATAATTGTCTTCTCCATGCTAAATGTATAATACTTTCACATTTTTATGAGTCTGCTACCTAAACTATCAATAGATCAAGGGTAGATCAACGTACTTACAACCTGGCTGAAGCTTTCTAAAGCAGACCGGCTAGTCCCACCTTATAAGAAACTAGTCTGTGAACAAGCATTAAAATAGAAGTGTATGAGTTATGTAAAATACACCATTTTGAAAAACATTGGACTTGATCTAGGATTTAAATGACTTCTAGGACTGGTAGTAGGATCAGACCACCATTCAGGATCCAATCATCTGACTAAGCTGATGATCCAAGAGTTATACAGCGACAATATGAAAATTGGAAAACAAAAACAAAACAAAAGGCGGGGCAAGAGGTTTCTTCCCCCCACCTCCCTCTCTGTTTCTTGGCTAATGTTTCTGTTGAAAATTAAAAAAAAAAAAAAAAAAATCAAAATACTTCTGTGAAAAATTCACTATTCCAGAAACAAATAGACCAAAGCTTCAGAACAGAATTATTTCCCCCTTTTCATTCCCAAGAGCATTAGTTACAGCTGAAAGTTTTCATTTGCTTTCAGTTGCCTGTTGGCTACGTGAAACAAGTGGGTGATCTCCACCCAGTTCCTAGTGGGGAGGAGACCACATCACAATACCACCAGCACAAGTGGCAGCCTTCAGAGATATGCACAGGATTTACTGGGTCTGGAGGATGAACTATCCTTAGAGATGGGTCACTCCAGATCAAGGTAGATGCAAATTAGCTGAGGTAGTATGAGGGAAGCCTGCAGTGCCATTGCCCATCTTGTTGCTTTTTGTATGTAGAGGACTTCATTCTCTAGAGGAATCAGCACCTTTCCCCATCACCTGACCTGATCCAATGCCTACTGATGTCATAGGAAAGATTCTGATTTAAGGCCTTAAGGCATGAAAATTATTTGGTGTGGGGTTTTTTTGTTTGTTTTTAATTCTTGAATTTCACCGAGTTACCATGTCGTAGAATAGGCTTTTACGTCTGTCCAGTTGAGTATGGTTCAGAGGAGAGTGATGGGAGAGACCAGGGTGTGCTGCTTGATCTCCTTTTTATTTGGGGAGCAGGGAGCTCCCCAGTCCCCCACAATCCATTTTGATGGCTTTCTAATTTTCATATTGTTTCCAAGTTTCATGCTGTTGGCCAGCTGGCCTGTTCCCTGCTGCACTGGCATTTTAGCAAAGCATCGCTAGGTCCTCTTTCCTCTCTCTTCCTAATACGCGCGCACACACTCTCACACCGACAGAAGGGCTCTGTAACGCCTCGGAAAGCTAGATCAAGATTAAAGTGCTCCAGGAACTGGTGCCAGTGGGCAGGATTAAATACTGGGGAGCAAGGATCCGGTCCATTGGCACTGTGTGGGAGACACACCTGTTTTATAGTCTTAGTCAACAAAGCTTGCTCTAATGCAGCCTGACAACAGGAAAATCTTACCTCACAGGCAGGGTGTCATCCATTTCTGTGCTTGCCAGCCCTGACCGCTTCAGGTTTTTTCTTTTTAAATTAGAGTGGAATTTCCTAGTCTTTATAAAGCTGTATCCACACAGGCCACTAGGTGTCAGTGTAATTTAAGAGCAGACAGGACGGATCAGTTAGAGCTGTGTGAACCTTTCATTACAAAACTTGAAACCAAACACAGCTCACCTGGTTTCATGTTTCCTTCCAAACTGGAAACCCGGGATCCCAGGTTAATGGATGTTTGAAATCCAGTTAGGTTTGAGATCTGAATTTTGAGCTGGCCTCATAAGGTATATATGCACCTGGGGATGAAAAACGCATGGTTGGCCTGGGTCAGCTGACTTGGGCTCATGGGACTCTGGCTTTGGGGCTGAAAAATTGCTGTGTAGACATTCAGGCCTAGGCTGGAGCCCGAGCTCTGGGGCCCTGGGAGGGTGGAGGGTCGGCTAACCCAGACCAGCCATAGCCATGCTGCAGGGCTTATATCCCTGTGTAGATGTTCCCATATTTGTAAGGAGCTGAACCAAATCCCAGAGTCTGAACAACTTTGGGGAGGAAATATGAAATCCAAACCCCAATTTTGTAGCTTAAAGCCATCTCAGACCTCTTAGTCAGTCTTATCAAGTTTTGCCACCATTTACATTGGAATGAGGTTAACTGATGAGGTTTAGAATTCAGGGTGAAATGCATTATTATTCAGAGGTCCCAATTAAAGATCAAGGCAACATTGTGCTTAACACTGTACACACATACAAAGAAACATGGCCCTTGCCCCAATCTTCCTTTGGGGAAGTAATTTGGTGGTTGATAATCCCACAGTAAATAAATAAATTATTAACCACTCTGTGAACAGAAACCATCAGTTTTTAGCTGTTTATTGTGACGAGTCACAAACACACACACACACACATAGAAATCCACCAAGTATGGCTTTTATTTGCCTAAATATAAGGAGTATGATGCTTTAAGATTTAAGGGCATAATATATTTTCAAGTAATAAGAATATAAGGATTTTGTACAGAAGCTCCTCTATTTCCTAAAATACTTCCAAAATTACACACAGAAGAATTGCTTCACATGCCCCGAAATGCAGTTACGGCCAGAGGAAATGTAGCAGTTATTCAACAGTGCCCTCCAAAGTTACCAGACAGGTTGCAATTGCAGGGGGAATTTAGGGTGGTAGAATACAATTACCCAGCTGTAAATTGGCTAGCGCCGTGAAACCATGCCAAGGATCTTGTAATAACCTCAGTTTTCCATCTCACCAACAAGGCCCCTCTTACCACAGCAGGGCATTACTACCGCAGAGGGGGGAGTGCCACCTACAGAATCACCAGTGCTGCTGCTTGTATCTGGATTTTCCTTTTAGGCCTCCCCTCCAAGTACTGATGCTGCTTAGTTTTGAGATCTGACAAAACAATAGCCAAGAGGGCATGGGGGCTAATAATTTATAGAGTACAAAGCCAGAAGGGACCACCATGATGATCTAGTCTGACCTGCTGCATAACACGGGCCTTAGAATTTCCCTGAATTAATTCCTATTTGAACTAGAGCATCTCATTTAGGGGGAAAAAATCCAATCTTGATTTAAAAATGAGCAGTGATGGAGAAGTCCCACAACCCTTGGTAAATTGTTCCAAAGGTTGATAACGCTCCCTGTTAAAAATGTGTGCCTTATTTACTGTCCGATTTTATCTAGCTTCAACTTCCAATCCTTGAATCTTGTTATACCTTTGTCTGCTCGATAGAAGAGCCCTCTGGTATCAAATAATAACAGACCTGACCCCTTCCTCACTTAATCTTCATAAATTGTATTGCCTTACATACTTCATGATTCCCGTTAGCAGACAGCACCATTCTCCAGGTGTCATAAATTCAGTCAACACCACTACAGTCTATTAATTATTCAGTTAATTAAGAAGAGTCAATAATAGTGACATGGGCAGTTCAGATGAGCTTAATGCTTCCATTGGAATTGTATACTCTAATTTCTTGAATGGGGACACAGATATGTAGCCAGCATACTAATAACTACAGATATTATTTAAGAATCTGCGTGCAGACGATTGTTATCAATGTTACTTTATTGAACAGGTTTAACCAAGTTATACCAGGTGCAAAAATATATATATGTTTGGTCTTTTCTCCCAGGAACAATACATTTTTATTCACCAGTGTGTGCAATTGATGTGGCTAAAGAAGAAACAGCAATTCTGCATCAGTGATGTCATATATGAGAATGTCAGCAAGTCCTAGTTCAGAATCACAGGTGGTACGTATGACAGCGCCACCCCTTCAGTTCTGCTCATGATTTATAATCCCAGTTGCCTGGTAGCAACTGGTGAAATTAATGTTTTACATCAGGACCTTCATTCTACCTTTTTCCATACTCCAAGAATTCTACCTTAGGGTTGAAGCTTTCCATGCCTGGTCTCCCGCCCTTCCCCCTGTGCCCCGGTGGTGGTGGTAGTGTGTGCAGAGAATGAGAGGGAAATCCCTTCAGCTGTTTGCGTTAGCATGGAATGATAAATCACATTTCTTAGCATTTTAAGACCTTTTTGGCTGACCAATCATTTTAAAAAAAAAAGCTGAAATAAAATCCTCTCCCGGCTTTTCACATAAATCGTCCTAATGAGGTGGCTGCACTTTCCTAAGGTTAAAGGGGAAATTAAAAATCAAAAAGTTATAAAGGGTTGTCATCAGTCACTCACAAGTGCGCGTTCAATCACTTGTCATCTACCAACTGCCAAATTATCACGGCCAACTGAACCCCTCCCCCTCCCTGTGATTGCCTTATCCCAGTACCCGGGTAAAAACTGAGGAACTTGTGAACCTGCTATGGAAGCAGTCCGAAGTTGCTACTAGCACTAACACTGAGCAACTTAACGATTAATACAGACATCTTAAGTACATTTTTTTAAGTGCAACAGGCAAAAAAATTACAAAACCAAAATATGCTGTCAAACTGCTGCCAGGCAGCATGGCCCACAGACTCAAAATGCTGGGGTTCGTTTCCCAGCACTGCCATTGATTCACTTTGCATTCCTAGGTGCATCAGTTAGCAACTGCGTGCCTCAATTTCCCCATTGGTAAAACTGAGTTAATGATACCGTGTAAAGCACGTTGAGCTATATGGCTAGCCTTTGCTATGTGAGTGTTTGATTACACAATTCATCATATAAACTTTGGACCCTGCCTCCCCCTCTACTCCCCAAATCGTTCCTTTTTCTCTCCTTCCATTTCTCCCACCAGGTCAGCCAGACTCTTGACCCCAAAGTATTTTTCTTTAAATTATATTTCCAACTGAACTGGGGGGTGGGGGAGGGAGAAGCTGGGATTCTCTTAAACATGCATGCATACAAATAATTAATAATCCAGGAATAGAAACCATGGCCAATATGAAAAGTGACTAGTGATTTTGAGTACCTCTATTTTTGGGTGCCCACATTGATTTTATAAAAGGGAGTTGCTGAACACTTTCTGAAAATCAGGCCCCATTAAGGTTTATCAAGTTTTGCACCCAATATCACTTGTGAGTTTTCAACATATTGCCTGTCCTGGTTTTTGTCCTGGCTTTTTGTTCCCTCCCTTCCTATACAGAGCTTTAGGTAAAACTAAAAATAAATGGCTAATGTTGTGTATCATTTTCAAACAGGATCCATTTGCTTTGTTCTCTTCCAGATGAGACCATGAAGTACACCCATCTTCCCTTGCTTCAGATTTTTTTTTATTGTTTTGTTTGTTTGAACTGCTAGCTGTTTTGCCATGGAAGGCCGCTGCTTTGCAGTATATGGACAATAAAAGAAAGATACTTTAAATTTTAGAAGCACTGGGGAGACTTAGCCTTAAAGAGCCTGCAGTGTCTTTTGGACTGTTTAATTTCTGGACATTTTTTAAATACTGGACCAAATTCAACTAAAACAACAGGATGGAAAAGATACTATAATATGTGCATAAAATACAGTACTCCTGAAGGGTGGGGGTTTTTTTTTTTTTGGGGTTTAAGTTTTTCTGTGCAGGTTGGGCTTAAGGTAAAAAGCAAGTGCAATATTTTTTTAATGGCTGAAACTGAATGAAGAAGAGCTCTCTTCATGTGTCACTGGTCTGTGCTTAAGTCCCTAAGAGAACAGGCATTGTTAGTATCTAATAATACCTCACTAGTGAATACGAGGCATGTACAAACATGAAGGATTGTGGATTTTGTGAAGAGGAAATGGGATATTGATTTGACTCTGTTTACGGCAGCACAGTGGTTCTGTGCTTCAGTGGAGCAGGGAGAATACAGTACCCATGGAGCTTTAGTAACACTCCTAAAATCCAAACAGTATAGCTCAAGGCTAGCATAGAAGACCTACATTAGAAAACTTCTGTTGGTCTGGTTCTTGATTGTGCTCCTCCTAATTAAACAGCAGGATTGTTCCTCTCTTTACTCTTTTCAGTAATGCCCCCATCAGTTACAAATTTTTTTTTTTAAGATTGAAACTAATGAAAGTGCAGAAGAGTTTAGAGCACCTTAGACTCTCTTGCTGTAGCATTTAGCAGTCTATGGTGCCTATACTCTTGATTTGTTTGTTTTTTATTTTTATTTTTTTCTAAAATATATTAGCCCTGTGTAAAAATGTGAAGCTGATTCATGTTGAGAAAAAAATAGTTGCTGTAATGAATGCAGCATCACCTCTCTGATGAGCTGGGAATTCATGGAGATGTGGAAATGAGGGTTTAGGCATGCAAAAGAAATTTTATGGGTTCGTTACCAGAATGTTGTCAAAGCATCGGTACTGATTCCTGCAGGGACTTCGGGGTTGGGTTTTTTGTTTGGGTTTTTTTTGCTATCAGTTTTATTTCTAGTCAGCATATTTAGGATTTGTTATATTCTTTTTGGCTTTGTATAATTCCAGTACATCGTTGTGTATTGTGACATGGATGCTTTCAGAGTGGATGTCGATGGCATTTTTGTAACCTGTTGCTTTGTGTCACCTCATTGGAAGTTAGAGGCAATGGTACTCAATGTAAAAAAAAAAAAAATGTGAACTGAAAGTAAACACATTGGATTGCTTACCTGTGAAAATGACACTGTGAGCAAGGCTGCTGCTTTTCCCTGGGAATCTCTCTACCTTTGTATCTGTGCACCACAGCTCAGCAACTGTTCAAGGGCCTGAGAATTTAGGACCATCTTTTTGGATGCTGTATTGGCATAGATCTGTTCCCCTCTCCAAAAGTAAATTGGGTACTTGTGAAAGGGTTCCAGACCCACTGAAAGCTACACCCTCTGATCACTGAATGGATGGCAGCAGCTCTACTTCTCTCTCTTTCCTCCCCCCCGCATATTTCCTACCCATATCTCTCCGTCCTGTCATGGATGGATCACCTCTATGGGCCAACAAGTTAGTTCACTCTCCACTTCTGTATCACTTGTATGGTGATGCCACTCCGTTAAGAGCTGGAATGTAACCACCATTTTTTTTTTAAATTGGGTTTTAGAGCTGGTGCAAGAGGCCAGCTTGATAGTCCTGGAGACCGAAATCCTGTCTTCATGGACAGAACTGGTAACTGCTCAGGCTACAACCATGCAAGCTTCTTCTACTACCCCACCAATGTGCCTCAACCCTGAGCTGGAGGGCTCAGCTGTGTGCCACAAATGACAACAAGGGTGCCATTTTCTCTAGGGTGGCTATTGCACAGAGGCCACCCAGCAGACAATCAGTCTCTCCTCATCTAAGCTGAATTCAGAATCATAAAGTAGTACTAAAATCCTCAGAGCCAGGCAGCCCTTGCCACAGTCTGTATGTCTGTATGTATTTCAAGCCTTCCTGTGCTTACCTAGGACGTATTACCTGTCTTATTAATTTATATATCCACAGGTACACAAAATTCTTTGTTCAGGAGGAGATATGAATACCTTAATGGCTGGTTGATTCCTTCCAACATGGGCATGGGCCTAATCTGCAACAGGCCTATCTGAAGTTCAAACACCCAATACTTGGATCTAGGATTTTCAGTTGCCACATTGGAGATGGGGCTGGCATCAAAGTTAGGACCCAGGTTTGGATTGCAGCTTCCACTCTGCCACAAAGTACAGGGGTGTTTGGCACTGGGGTTTTGGTTCAGGCTCCTCTCTACTCTAAAGTTGAGTAGGACGAACATCCTGTAAACTAGAGTTATGGTCCATGCACATTTAGAAGTAGATCACCATGTAGTGGTTTCAGTAGACAGCTATATACCATACACACTGGCCATCGAAGCATAGGAATTGCTTTACAATCAATGGAAGAAAAACAAGTGTGTTGATTTCATTCTGTTGGAAGTGTTATAAGTTTCAATCAGAGCAGTAATGTGTATAAAATATCTGTTTTAGGCCTTGCTTATTTGAGGTTGTAGAATAGACTTTGAGCTTGGGTCTAGAGCTGTGTGAGGTTGAATGGCACAAATTACACTGGTCAAAGAAAACCTTGTGGATGTTTTATTTATTTTTTGTGCCATCACTGGCCATTGCCCACTGATTCTCTAGATTCTCCATTTTGAAACAGAGGTTAATTAGTTCTAAAGGATCACAGCAAAGATGGATGTTATAACACAGCACAGACTGGACAGGATATGACTGTAGATTACACCCCATAATTAACCAACCACCACCATTTCTGCAAATGGTACAGGCTCCACACCTGCTTGATTTAAGCAGATATTTATATAAAAGCCAAAGAGGTATTTAGGGTAAAAGGTTGACCTGATATTTTCTTTTTGGTAATTAGTACAGGTTAGACATAGTCATGCTGAAAGTCTTCCTCCAGGCTGCCTCCCATTTTTGTTACGTGCAAGATGGTAGTAGACATTATGGAGGCATCTGATACCCTGTTCTTCCCTCAGAAGGGCTGTCATTCCAATGTAGGCTGCTCCATTATTAGGCACCAAGGCCTCACTGAGGTGAATCTGAGAAAAGCAGGTGTTCAGCTATCTTCCCTGCAGAGCAGACTGCACTCCTCTGTGTTTCTAAAAATGTTATCTTGTGCAATCTCTGGAGTTTGGGGGGGGGGGGGAGTAAAAGGTTCTTTCCCTTCCTCCAGTGAGCAGGAGCCTGCCACAGGTCAAGGGATGGGCCTATCATGACTTGTTAAGGGCACAGTCACTTCTAGCAGAGTCAAGTGATGAATATAAACTTGCATTGTTTTATAAACACAGAGTTTGAAACGGTCAATTCAAACTTTAAAGATATAAGCCAAATACAGCTACCAGAAGACTAATAACTTTGGAGGTATCACCTTTCACAAAGCTCATTACACTTCTACCTCCATATAACGCTGTCCTCGGGAGCCAAAAAATCTTACCGCGTTATATCGAACTTGCTTTGAGCCGCTGGAGTGCACAGTCCCGCCCCCCCGGAGCACTGCTTTACCGTGTTATAGTGGGGTAGAGGTGTATATTGTCACCAACTGTATACTTAAAGTGCAAAACTTTGTGATTTTTGGTTCAAAACCTTTTTAAGGTGGATCTCATGTGTGTTCAGCTTAATTTTTCAGTCAAAGCAAAACAAATGTGGTTTGGGTTCCTATCGTAAATCAACCCTGAGGCAACTCTCAACTCATTGCAAGTTTGAAAATCTCTCTCAAAAATGCAGTGTTGTAATGAAAGCTGGGAAATTGTTTGATTTGGGTTCAGCTCACTCTAGTACTGATGTAGAGGATCTATATTGGCAGTGCTGTACTTCCCATACGCTGCCACCAGGTGTTCTGTACCAGACCTATCTCAGAAGCGCCATAAATTGATTGGCTGTGTTCCAGAACCAGAGAGGGAGCTACATTAGCCATACTAAACACAGACAGTACTTTACCTGCTAGCTCAGTGATGCCTAAGGGGGCATAGGCGTGGGAAACAATTCCTTAACCTCGCCCCACTACTTATAGCAGTGATGAAGTTGTCATGGCTAAGGCAGAAATTTGTGGAATCTTCTAAGACCATGTGCAAGTGCTGACTTTTGGCTTATGTCCCTTGCGTTGCCCCAGTTTTTAATTAAGAAAGGAACAGTAGGTTCAAAGTTACTAAATTTCAATTCAGATCATCACTGTATATACTACAAAACTATTTGCACTTTAGGAGTTTGATGAATGGTGCTTAATCTTGTGTTTGACCTCCTTACTCAAATAAGCCTTACCAGTCCCTTCAATAGAAGTTTTAAAGGAGCCTGTGTGAAAACAAGCTGTATCTCATTCACCTAACCTACCATTGTTACTTTTGGCAGCTTCTCTGTTGTTTCTACACTGTGCAATTCTGTAATATAGATATAGTCTTTTGACCCACATTCTGACAGACATCAGAATTTAAGGAATTCTGTGTAAGCTGCAACACCACTCATAAGAAACAGAGAAACAAGGGCTATAGCCTGCTAATGTTGATGTTCTCCTGCTGCAGCAGTAGTACAACATAAATGGAGCAAGTATTACCCATCCATAGAATGTGAATGATATAAAGGGAGATTGTTTTAGAGAAAGAAATTGATGAATATAGGGAATCAAATAAGATTGAGCACCCATAAGCATGCAAACACATACTTGATAGCTTAAATAGATACACATTATCTATGAAGGCCCCACTTTGTGTATGCAATGCACAAACATGCATGCCCCTGGGAAGCGTGGGCCTGATTTGCTCCCCTCATTCAGGCACAGGAGGTTTCAATCAATTCTTCAATAGCAACCTTGGTAATTTGCCAGACCAATATTTTCTTTATCAACCTGTTCTTATGATGTTGGCCTTACTCCTGAGCAAAGTCCAG